TTTATATCTACTAGTATCCATTTCTGCAATTGGCTTTCCTTGTTGAACACGTTGATATTCTGTTGCGAGTATAGGTGGTTCCTAATTAATTGAAAATTTTACTAACATTTTAATAAATGTGATTTAATAATAAAAACATATCGTGAAACTTACTTTAAATAATTCGAAATTAGATGGAAAATGTGAAGCGTAATCTCGCTTTGATTGGGAAGGTCATTTTCTCATTTCTTGTTCAACGAATTTATCAACTTTTGCTCGCATTCCTTTGTAAAATAATTAGTCGATTCAGTATATATTTTCATATAGTGATAAATCCTTGATCTGCTAAACGTTAGAGTTAGATTACCTTCATAATCAATTTCTTAAACAATGTCTTGAAAAAAAAGTTAAGTCCAAACGAGTCTTACAAATTGTAATTCTAATGTAAATTGCGTAAAAAATTTATTGTCAACAACCTACATGGTAAAGAGTCGAGATTTGTTCCATTATCGTTATGAAATTTTGCAAAGAGAGAATCTGTGATGATCAAGTGATAATCCAATGATTTTCTATTTTCAATATACATGTGACCGAAACCCCTGGATTTTCGAACCTAGTTTCAATTTCGGATTTCGTCAATTTTCGGTCGAGGATGATCATTTCCGAAATTACAGTGCTTTTCAAATTACTGTGCATCAAATTTTGTACGTCACACATCACACAGGAATCTGGGAATCTGGAAATCATGAATCTGGAATTCGGGAATCTAAAATTTTAAATAAATATAAAAAATTTTAGAAATAGTAAAAATTTTTCTTTCCCAAATTTCATATGGCAGATGCAGATAATACAAAAATATTATCGTGGTACCTGCTTTGCGTGCAGAAAATGTTTATATTGTGCTACAGATTTAAGCGTTAGTACATGCAAGTGTAAAATATCCCTGGTACCAACCAAGAAAAACAGAACAAATTTGGTTAAATAAGCTTACACGTTACTACGAACCTACCTGGGTTGCGCCTAAATTCGAATATGTTTACAAACAAGTTATTGATTATAATTATCGAATAAACTTAAAAAAACCATTCAAATTTTCTCTTTGTGGACGATGTCATAATGTTTTAGTCAGACTGAGTTCTAATAAAAAATCAACCAAAACAGCAAATAAATCCATAAATAAAGTAATTTAAAATTTTATTATTATTATTATTATTATTATTATTATTATTATTATTATTATACAAATTGTACTATATTTAATTTTTTTTATAGGAAATAGATAAAAAATCAGAATGTGTTTTTTTTTTTGTATTATTTAAATTTTATATTTACTTATTTATTAATACAATTTTTTATAGGAAATAATTGAATCTTCTTTACCTATATTCATTGCAGATGAAACTAAAAATAATGAGGATGAGATTAGTGAAGATGAGACAAGCAGTATTGAAGAACCTGAATTTGCATTAGATTACAAATTATTCATAAAATTATTAGATGAAACTTCATTATCTGCAAAATGGTTTGAAGAATCAGTTACCACTATAGATGAATTTCTTTTATCTATTTATAATAAGTTATTTCATTAACTAAAAATATTGATGTTTTGTCAAATGATTATTGTATAATTTTTAAAACACAAAGAGAAGCAGGTGTTGACATTCAATTAGTTAATGCACAAGATTTTATTAAGTTTAAAGTTAAATATTTGAAACTAGTTGCAAGAAAAAATGACATTAGAATTTATATTACTATTATACAACTTTTTGTTTCTCAAAATAAGCAGAAAAAAAAAGTATGCATCTTTATATAATAATAACAATAATATATAATAAAGTTATTTATATTGTAATGTGTTCAAATTAATTAAAACTAAAATTTTATAGGAGTCAAATTTGGATGATGATGAAAATAATAAAAAATCAAACAATGTGAAAAAAATTAATCAAATTCCAAGTATTTTATCTCTATCATTATATAACAAAGATATTGCTAAAAATGTAACAAATATTCAAAATGCATATTATTATAACAGACATAATCAGTCTTGTTTAAACAAGAAAAATCATAAGAACTTATATGTTGAAATAAATTTTACAATGTTTTCTATATAGGCATTAGACATAGTATATTTGTTAAACTAAGATTTAATGTTTATATATTGATATTATAATTTATTTATATTTTACATATATTTTTAGACTAAAAAATTAGCTACAATTAAAAAGTTTCCAACATATTCATTTTTTTCTTATTTTAATACATCATTCAAAAAACTTTTACAAATTACTTTATTTGAGGAAAATTTATTGCTTTTATCAAGTCTGCAGCTGCTATCACTATTTTAACTAATTACACAATCATCATCTTAACCAAATATGCAGCTATCATCACTATCTCAATCAAATATACAGCTACCTCTACTATCTTGACTGATTTTATTATTATTTTTATTATTAAGTTTACAATTACTATCATAATTTTAATCAATGTTATCATTATCTTTATATTTGCAAATACAAATACCATTAGGCTTGCTATTACAAACACAAGTGCTATTAGGGTTATTATTACAAGTTCAGACACTATTATTTTTATTATCACTACAACTACTATTTCAAGAACAAGTATACAATTGGTTTCAATTATTTCAATCACATTAACCATTGTTTATAAACTCATATTATCTATATCAAACTTTTCAATATAATCCATATGTCACTTCTGTTTTACTTATCATAACAGAGTTTTTTAAAAAAATAGATAAAAAGAAAGAAACAGGTCATTATTATTAGGATATTTTAGAAAATTTTAAGCACAACAAATTTTAGTAAAATAAATACAAAGATTGTCAAATGAAAAACTTGATCAATGCAGAGTAAAAACTATTAAAGCATAAGAAACTATACTTGAATATACTGAAAAATATCAAATATTACATAGGTATAATTTTTAATAGTATTTAGAGCAAATAAACATTGTTAATAATAATAATGTATTAAAAACAATATATACATTTTCTGTAATTTGAACTTATCTGCTTCTAATATTAAAAATACTTACTTAATGTAATTTGAACTTATCTGCTTCTAATATTAAAAATACTTACTTAATGTAATTTGAACTTATCTGCTTCTAATATTAAAAATACTTACTTAATGTATTTCACTTGTTTAAATTATTTCTATTTATAAATTTTGGATCTTTATAGTAATCTTGTAAACTATCCAAAAATGATTTCATATACTACATATAACTTGAAAATTGGAAATTTATTAAAATACAAGACTTAATTAATGTATATACTAAATTTGACAGTTTATACTAATTACTAAATCAAAAGAGAACAAAGATCAGATTTTAATAAGCTTTAATTTACTTAATATTTGATATTTAAAATGTTTTTATATAACTAAAATTTTATGCTAAAACCTTTTATTTAAAAGTCAAACTGTGTAGTTATTATAGTAAAGTTTTGAGTTATTTGTGATTTTTCTGTTTTTACAATGCTTTTTGAATTTTTTTAAGTTATATAATATCTTGTAATTTTATAACAATAATTAGTATAACTTGTCAAAGATTTAGTATATGCTCTAAAAATAACATAATTATGTTTTTTTCAAATATTAAGTAAGAAATTTTTCAATATCTGATTTTTGCTATTATAGACTGTTTTTTAAAAATTATTCTAATATTTTCCTAATATGAAAACATATAATTAAAGACTTAAAAAATAAAAAAATAAAGATAAAAAATATTAAAAGTTCAAGATTTGTTTTTTGTTTCTAGATGCTTATTTGTATTATCAATATTGTTAAATTTTGATTTTTTATATTTTTAGTATAGATTTTAACAGACAATTTTTTATTTGTATTTTAAGATTCTTGTAAAGAATTTGTAGTCACACTATTGGCCAAACTAGTACATTATAAATTTTTAATAAAAAGATGATAAAATTTATATCTCTATTTATCTTTATTAAAAATGTATATATATGTATATTATTTATTATATGTTCTTAGCTTCTTGCTAGTTTTTTTTTATCTAAACAACTTCTAACTAATATTTTTTTATTTATTGATAAAAAAAACTAGATATAGTATTATTTGTATCCAAAAGTCTCTATAAGTTTTTTTGCTACTTCAGGTTCAATCTGTGTATATGCAATTAATAATTGATATGTTAGATTATTTGAATTCTCAACAAACTCACTATTTCATCATAAATATCTTTTAATTAAGAAAAATAATTTCTTAATCAGATTAAGATCTGATAAGTATGATAAAAGGAATTTCACATGCATCTCAAAAGCATCTAGATATTCATATAATTCTTTATTGTAATGAATATATACATTATCTAAAACTAAAATATTTTTAAGATACAGATATAGATTCATCTGTAATAACTGTATATATAAATATTAATATATAATATAATGATAATAATTAAAATTTATAGTAATATCTACTACTTGATTTATAATAAATTCTTTAAAACTAAGTTTTGTATAACTGTTTTCTGCAATATTGACTACAATTATTTCTTGTAAGATCAAAGCTAGACAGATCATATACCTTTTTTCATATACAAATACTATCTTTTTTCTTGTTAAGGCGTTTATTAATAAATATTTATAGCTTCTAGATATGGTTTGCTTATTCTTAGCAGATTCATCTACAAATACAAATTGCTCGGACTGATAATGTACACTAACATATATCATAAAGGCATTTTTCACAAGCTCATTCCATTCTTTTGCTTCTTTATAAAGCTAGTAATAAGATGTTATATTAGATACTATAAATACTAATTTAAATTTTAGAAAAAAAAAAAATTTTTTTTTATGTAATTCTACAGTATGCTAAAGACCTTCATAATGTTGAAATTGATACAGACTTTTCTGTATATCATTTCATCTTACAAACAAGTTCATCTAAATACCAATTGATCTTTTCATTAACTACTTTTTATAAAATCTAAATATATAAAATTTAGTATTAGAATAAAATATAAAGTGTAATTAGTTTGTATAATGTCTATATATATATTCATATTATCTCTACTAAAGGTTTTTCATTATCTAGGACTTAATGCTATAGATGAACTATTGTACTTCATTTTCAATATATTCTTAGTACTTTTTTTCTAATGATTTGCTTAAATACAAAAACAATTCAATTTTCTTTTTAGAATATTTATTATATTACAAATAAACTATGTGCTACTTGAAATCTTTACTATAAGATCATAGCATCTAAAAATCGAAATTTTGTAGCAAAAAAACTGAGAATTTTTATTATTACTACCAATTACAAAATTCTGTATAGTAATGGATATTATGCTAAAGAATTAAAATTTGACAAGTAAGAGTTGTGTCATTAATTACCTGATTATTTTTTATCAGAAACCTATCTTCTTCCTTCTTTTAATATATAAATAGTTATATAATTTTAACTTTTTTTATCCCCTTCCTTTTTAAAAAATCACCTGATTTTTGATACTTCTCTAATTTAAATTTTTTTAGTAGGAATTTTTAAAAAAATGACAAATTTAAAGAAATTTTATTGATTCCATATGATGGTCAATCATCTGATAGTTACAGTAATTTGAAAAGCATTATAAAACCTTTGGTTAAAAGGCTAACTAAAGTCAAATCTAATTGGTCTTTATATGTGAATTGAAATTCTAAACAAAGCATTATATAGTGACTAAAACTTTTAAGAAAAATAACAATAAATAAAATTAAATATTTTTAAAATGAAAAATGTTAAGAAAAATGTAAGCAGACATCCTCCTAGTAAGGTATAGAATTGGTTTGTAAAGAAAAATGAAATATTTAAAAAAGAATATTATTTTATGTGCTTTTTTTGTGATCAATATTGGGTTTTTGCTAAACCAAGTAAACTAAAAATGCATCTTGTATATAAATATCAAAAAGTTGATTCAAATACTAGAATCAAAGTTTTAATATCATTGACAAATGATTCTGTTAATTTAGATAATAATACAGTCTCAACATCAACTATGGCAAATAAAAAACAAAAATTGGAAAATAGTATTAATATTGATAGTAAATATGAAAAGTTTCTACTTTATTAGATAAAAAAAACCAAATTAATAAAATAATATTAAAAATAGTTATGTATTATAATTTATCTTTTGTTATTATTGAGCATCTATTTTTTTAATAATATATAATTTATCAAATTAGCAGAATAATCATTCAGTTAATTTTTCATAAAATGTTTTAGAAATAATGATAACAGTTATAAAAATAAATTTTTTATATACATTATGATTTGTTATATTAAGGTTTATTATATCAAGTTTTGTTATATTGAAGTTTATTATAGCAAGATTATTCTGTAGTTGATTAGTTAATATTTAAAAAAAGTAGTTAATAACCAATCAATTTTTTCTAATTCAATTTGTAATACTAGCTTTAGATCAATCTATTTATGATTATTGCATAATTACTAAAAAGTATAAAGAATATCTTTAAGTTTCAAAAAATTATTTTAATATAGCTCATTATACTGATGCATTTCTTGGTAAAAAAATTATTAAGATTATTAATGATATAAATCCTAAAATAATAGTTGTGATTATATCTAATAATGCAGCAAATATTTGTGTTGTATAAAGAATATTTTGTAAAAAATATTCTTATATTTTAAATATTAGATGTATTGTATATTATATTAATTTAATTAAAAATTCTTGTAAAACATGCATTTGTAACAAGTGCAATTCAGAAAATCAACATAATTTATAAATATTTTACAAAATCACATGCTACATGTCAATTTTTAAAAGATATAATTAAAAATTTAAATATTAAAGATAGTGATTTAAAGAAACATACAAAAACATATTAGTCTACAATATGAAATTCTGTTAATTTAATTATATGACTTGAATTTGCTTTTATAAAAGTAAAATTTTTTTAATTTTATTTATATTGTAATATTAAACTGTTAACTTTAATCTAATATAATTTGCTTGCAAAACTGTTTAAAGAAATAGGTTAATACCAGATAGTTTTAAAATTAACTACTAATCAATTTGTAAATTAAAAGTTACATAATGTATATAAAATACTACATCTAATTCTTTATAAATATATTTGTTAAAAAAAAGTTAGCAATTTGAAAATAGATAAATAAAAATAAGAATATTAATAATTTTATAAAAAAGATCTATAATAGCCTTCCCGCTGATCCTCGATTTCAAAAAACAAGAAAAAAACAAACTCAAAAACAACAGAAAATAGACTAACAAACACCTTTTAGATGACTAACAA